TTGGCCAGGAATTTTCCAAAAATAATAAAAGACATAAACCATAATTCAAGAAAATCACAATATCCTGGACAGAATGTGCACACACAGATCATATTCAAACTTCCAAAAACCAAAGATAAAGAAAAAATTTTGAAGATAGTGAGAAAAAAAAGGATACATTACACACAGAAGAACAAAAATAAAAATGGAGATAAGATGGAATTATGAAAAAGAAAATCCAAAATCAGGAAGATAAAGAAGAAAATAGGAATAAAGAACAGATGGGGCAGATAGGAGACAACTAACAAGATGGTAGATGTTAATCCAATCACCACAATTTACATTAAATGTAAAGGTTCTAAGTATACAAGTTAAAACAGACTGTCAGATCAGTTAAAAAAGCAAGTGTCATCTATAGAGAAAGACACTTGAAATATGAAGATGTAGACAGGCTAGGAGTCACTCTTGTTATCTGGCAGATTGATTAAAAGTATTTTCTTATTCCCCTTCACATAATTCTTTTAACCCTAGAGACTTTGCTTTTGGCCACCTTTCAACTGAACATAGAAGGCAAGAAGACATTTAGAAATCCATTCTGCTCAAAGTGGTTGTCTGTTGTTTCTCCTATTATAGTGTTAGTATTACTTAACTTGCTTATACCCTCCTCTTGTATCACATGGAGCTTGCTGAGGGTGAAAATTCCTTTGAAATTCTTCTAACCTTTGTCTGTTCACTTTGGCCTCTTTCTTGGCCACAGTCTGTTTCATTTTCTTTTCTTTTTTCAGGGTTTTATACTATTACCATTTACAGAGTATTTTTGACTTTTCCTTTTGACAAAATTTTGACTCTTGTGAGCACTTGCTTTTTTTCAAGTTTCAGTTTTTAGAATGTTCTGGGTGATCTACTATCTCTCTGTAAAAGCATGACCATGTATCTTTTTACTGCTTTAAGTCTCTGGGGAAGAGAGTAGTTGAAAAAGGGTAATGTACCTATTTTCCCAGAAGGATTTTCAAAGACACTGTTTCCTATGGCTCTTTTGAAATATCTTTTTTTCATTTTTTAAATTAGTCTCTTTAACACACCGAGATTTTTGCTCTCAAAGATGTAAAACCCAATATATCAGTTCAAATGGACAGCTAAATTTAGCTGGGAAAAAAATGGGTAGTTCTTCATTATTAGTTGTAGTTAATCATGTGTGTGTGGCCAATCAGAAATTGGATGTAGGCAGTTCTCTCCTGATAACTTTGATCCAACTCAGGTTCTTAGAGCCAAGCAAGTTGGTTTTAAATGAGAGAGAATGATGGTTTAGAAAATGGAAAGAACATAGTGTTCTTTAGTGTCATGTTCTTAATAACAAATCAGGTTAGGTCTAGGTGTCGCCTAGAGTCTTATGTAGGTGGAGATAAAATGTGACTACAGCACTCTCAGACTTTTCCTGTAATATACTGAAAACAGGTTTTCTGAGTGTGAGGGCAATCTGACTTTGACCTCTATCACTGCTCTGATCTTCAGAGTTGATTTAATCTTTCTGGTGGCTAGGAGGGTATCCCCTTCCTCTCTCATTCCATGAGTGCTCAGGAGAGGAGGACTGTCTTCCCCCATGAAGGAGGACCATTCTTTAGTCAAGGGCATATGAGTAGTTGTGCTCCCCTGCTGGAACCTCTAAACAAGCCTTCAAGGTCCATTTTCAGGAGAACATATGGTAGTCATACCTCCAAGACTCCAGACACATCCAAATGTGGTGCTGCATGTGTCTGTCTGCCTTTCTTAAAAAAAAAAAAAGGTGAGAAAACAAATTTCCTCATTCACAAGTGTGGATGTGTTTATAAAATGTTCATTTTATTGTCTGTATGATTCCTATGATGGTATATCAGGCACCCTATCCCACAGCTGGAATATTTTGACCTCAAATTATTATTATAACAAATAAACTTAAAGTATGATTTAGAAAAAAAGCAATAAAAAAGCATGCCTGACTTAATAAGGAAGGAAAGATATGGATGGGAATGTGGAATATGAGGATAATGATGGAAATTAATTTAAGGTAGGTTTCAAAAGATAAGAGACCTGAGGCCCACAGCCTGCCCTTTGCAATGAATTTTCCTGCTTGTTCTGTTATTTGAGATTTTATATTCAACATATCCTACCATGTGTTGGGTAGGTTAGGTTGAAAGTTAACATATTAATAGTTATTAACAAATATTAACAGTTACGAGAGAAAAAATCCTAAGTGTTTTGACTTTAACAAGAAAATAGCTTACTTGAACAGTGGACTGGAGACACCCCCAATTGTGGAAGCTGAAGAACCCGGCACGCATGCTCCCTCCACGGACAATTTCTTCAAGTTGTCTATTTTATTAATAAGTAGCTACCAGACTTTAAGTCTTGTCTGTAAAACTGAAGTGAGAAAAGATGCTTCAGTCAGACTCTAATCTGTGCTTTTGTGGAGGAATGACAGGCAAAAAATAAAATCCTTAATCAATCGAGTTTCAAATAAATCATTTGTTGTCTGGTGGTACTAGTAAAAACAACTGAATAAATGTGTGTGTGTGTGTGTGTGTGTGTGTGTGTGTATACAAACGGCTGAGTTCATCTCACAAGTCACCATACTAATATAGAGTTCAGTAGAGATTTTCCTAGAGGCAACTGGCCTACATACCTACATTCAGTGGCTGGTTTTCCTACTTTGCTTTCCTACTTTCCTACTTTGCTTGTGGGATAATGGGAAGCTGTAGGATATTGCGTTTGAAGAGAAACTGTTGACAGTAAGCTCTGTCTACATCTGAGGCAATGAGGCAGCTCCTTGCCGTGACCTTGTCTGTAGGCCTGAACTCTGCTGTCGCTGCCCGGAACCATCACTCTCCTTCAAAGCACGCTGTGGCTGTCAGCTCAGTTCATTAGAAGCCATTCTGTGAACTTGGGCACAGGAGGTAGCGGTATCCTTCGGGCGTGACTGATTGACCTGATGGTCCTGCTCTCTCCCCAGGCAAAAGTAGAGTAGGCTGCACTACATATCTGAAGACTGGGGCCCTTGGAGATTCAGGGTGAGCTGTACGGCGTCCAGAAGTGGCATTTGTGAAACTTTTGCTCTGGGTCATTATGCTGGGACACTTTCACAACTTGGGTGTCCATTCCCATACCTATTCTGATACTGGTTTAGTCATTCTGATATAGAGGGACATGTGGAGACTACCTACTGATGGACACACAAATTACAAAAGGGGTTGTCCTCCTGCAGGGACTTTTGGTTACTGTTTGTCCACTTATTTTTACAAATTCATTTATTCAACAAATATTTATCAGATGCCTGCTCTGTGCCAGATACTGAGCCAGGTGTGGACTTATAACAGTGAACAAGATTGACATGGTTTTTGTTCTCATGAAATGGAGAGAAAACAAATAACCAATAATTATAAGAACTGCAAAGGATAAAATAGGGTACCATATTAGAAGATAATGAAGGGAGGAGCAGTATTTAAAATAAAAATAAAAAGAGGGTGAGAGAAAGCCTTTTGTAGGTGGCAACATTTAAATTACTACCTGGATTAAAAGGATCCAGACATATGAGGTTCACGCTAGGCAGTATAAAAAACTTGGGTAAAGACACTGAGATAGGAAAAGGCTTGATGTGTTTTGAGAGCAGAAAAAGGACAGAAGAGCTGGTGCCCAGCAAGCCAGAAGATGGTGTGAGATGAGGGAGGCAGACACCAGATCATGTAGGCCCTTGAGGACCATGGAAAGATGTAATAGACTGAAGGGGATTATGGGATCGGAAACTTAGTTGGAAATAGCCGTCTAGAGTTGGGAGAGGCCTTCTTAGGGACATGAATTTGGAAGTCATCAGCATTTTAATGGAAAAACCACAGGAATAGAGTGTAACCTAGGAAGGGGCTGTAGAAAGAATAGAGGATGGACTGAGAAAAGAAGACCTGGATAGGTTAGGGGCTGGCAGAGGTGAGAAAGTAGGAGGAAAGCAAGGAGATAGTAGTTCTCTGGAAACCATAGAGGAGAATGCTCGAAGAGAGAGGGCTGACTGTGTCACTACAGCTGAAAAGTCTGGAGTATCACTATTTAGTATGGTAGTCACTAGCTGCATGTGGCCATTCAGCACATGTAACTAGTTCAAATTGAGATGTGTTGTTGGTGTAAAATAAAATGTACACAGGGTTTTGAAAATGGTACAAAAACAAGAATGGAAAATAGTTCATTAGTATTTTAAAATAATGATTACATGTGGAATGATAATATTTGGGATTTATTGGGTTAAATTAAATTTATTATTAAAATTTCACTTGCTTCTTTTTACTTATAAAAAGGTATCTATGATGGGCTGGAGTTGTGGCTCAGTGGTAGAGTACTCGCCTAGCACACGAGAGGTGCTGGGTTTGAACCTCAGCACCACATAAAAGTGAAATGGAGGGCTGGGGCTGTGGCTCAGTGGTAGCACACTTGCCTGGCATGTGTGAGGCACTGGGTTCGATTCTCAGCACCATGTATAAATAAATAAAGGTCTAACAACATCTGAAAAAAAATTTTAAAAATTGAAAAAAAGCGAAATGGAGATATTGTGTCCCCCTACAACTATAAAACAAACAAACAAAAAGGTATCTATGAGAAAAATTTAAATTACATGTGTGACCTACAGTGTACTTGTATTGCAGTTGGCAACTTGGAAGTCATTAGCAAACTTGATAACAGTAGACTACCTGAGATTAAGTAATACCCAGCTAATTGCCAGTGATACTAACTCATCATCATAATTCCATTTTGCCTAAAATTAAATAACAAAACTTACCACCAAAATGTCACCTACACTTTATGATGTGTGTGCAATCTAATTTTACATAAATTGACAATATGTGAGTGTTTAAATGAAATCCTTTGAAGTCAAATCTGAAAGGTGTTTTAAAAATTCTTTTTAACCTAAATTTTCTTTCTTTCCTTTTCTTGATTTTTAATTTTTCATTTTTATTTAAATTCTTAATTTGTTTTTTTATTTTTATTTTTGCATATCTGGCCAGGAAACTTCATGGTGTTATGGTCAACTTGCCGCACAACAGTGTTCAAATCTGTCACCAACAGGTTCATTAAAAACCTGGCCTGCTCGGGGATCTGTGCCAGCCTGGTCTGCGTGCCCTTTGACATCGTCCTCAGCACCAGTCCTCACTGTTGCTGGTGGATCTACACCATGCTCTTCTGCAAGGTCGTCAAGTTTTTGCACAAAGTGTTCTGCTCTGTGACTATCCTCAGCTTCCCTGCCATTGCTTTGGACAGGTAAGTTCAGGTTGCTAGGGGCTCAGCTTTTATTTAAAAAGTATATTGAAAACTGAGCATCATGAACCAAATGATGAATAGTCAATGTTCCATATGCTGCTTTTTAGTCTGCTTTTGGTAAAAAAAAAAAAAAGGGGGGGGGGGGGGTGGAATGAATGTCTAAAACACAGCCTCACAAAGGATGGATTGATTTGCAGCAGCCGTGGAAAATAAGATCCTTACAAAAAGACATGGCATGGGGTTATATGGTGAGGATGCTAGAGCAGAGCTACTGGATCATGGTGTCACATCATCTTGGTTGGAATTGGTATTGCATTGCAATTAAAAGTAGATTGCTCATCTGATTGGTAACATTGCAATTATGGATCTTTGATGCAGGATGAAAACATTTCTGGAAGAACAAGAGAATGATTCAGTAGTTACTTAACAAATGGCCTATTTGGACCTCATCAGATAACACTAGAATTCCTCTGGACAATTTAGATCCAAGGCTTCATATTGTCATGGTGGTGGTTTTTCCATGTGATCATTTTTAAAAGGATATTCATTTGGAAATGAATCTTATTCTTAGTTATTGCCTTTTATAATTTGGAAGCCAGAGTCCTTGGCTCAAGTTCACACTCTAGTGGCTGCTCTAATGCATTTGGTGTTGAACTGCTTGTGTCTGTGAGAGATGTTTTTTTCCACTGCTCCTTGTACTGTCTGGTCTGGTGAAATCTTTTTCCTTTTGAGATGAGGTCTTGCTGTGTTGCCCAGTCTGGCATCTATTTCCTAGGTTCAAGCAGTCCTCCTGTTTCAGTCTTCCCAGTAGTTAGGCTGGTAGGTGTGTGACACTGACCTGGTGGAATATTAAGTTTTCAGCTTTGTATCACAAGTCTTCTTTCCTGGAAGTTTTTGTTTTAAAGTGGTTTTGGGATATAATTTACATATTAGAAAATGTAGCCATTTTAAAGGTACAAGTAAATGAATTTTAGTGTATTTATAGAGTTGTGTAGTCAGCACCCTCCCAATGGGCACTTTGTGGTCATCAAATTTTTGCACAAAGTATTCTGCTCTGTGACTCTCTTTTGTGCCCATTGAAGTCACTTCCCATTCCCACCCCAGACCTAGGCAACCACAATCTACTTTCTGTCTGTCTCTCTATATTTGCCTTTGTTTGAATATTTCATTTAAGTGGAATCATATAGTATGTGTTATTTCACATCTAGTTTCTTTCACTTGGCATGTTTTCAAGGTTTTACCAATATTATAGCATGAATATTCATTTTTATGGCTAAATAACATTTCATTGTAAGGTAAACCACATTTTGTTTTTCTATTTCTCAGTTGATGGACATTGGTTTGTTTCCACTTTTTGGCTGTTGTGAATAATGCTGATATGAATCCTGAAAATTTTTAATCATAGTTTTCAACAAGAGTGGGGACATCTTATACTGAATAGTTTTTTACTATACCTGGAAACAGTGCAGTAATTTCTGAGCCTTATTCTGGGCCCTGATCTTAGATATAGAAATATAAAAACAAAAAGAAATCCTTATTATCTTTACATCAGAAGAACTTTGCATTTTTACCTCCATTAACACAAAAAGATAAACAAGTTCTTTTAGTAGAAAAATAAGCTGGGTAAATTCCTGTTTTATTACACAGAAGTCATTTTCAGGAACCAGCATGGTGTGCATGAGGGAGAAGGGAAGACATCCTTTCATTTCTTTTGCAGCTATTGGTTTCATGGCACCAAGTTAGCAAATTAATTGAAAGGCCACCCACACTTCCTGCATCATCTTCTAGAGATGTATTTATAAGAGGACTATGTGCTTGTGTTGTAATACATAATGGAATAAGCAATTGATGGGGGCCTGGGTTTGTTCATATGAGTGAGGAAATGTAAGCAGAGCTAGTAGACTTCTGGGCATGCATTCATGTGTGGGGTTGGAGTCATCACATGTTTATAGACTTGTGATTGGAAATATTGATCTGTATTAAGGAAAAAATTTTTGAGAGTATGCCTCATTTATGCATGTCTTTCTCTTTCTTTCCTTACCAGAAAGAAATCTAGAACACATTTCACCATGTTCCATCCTTTCCTGATCATCCATGGTCACTGTTGTGCTCTCATCACATCTCAGTCTGGAATGTTCCTCCCTGCTGTCCCCCTGCCAGACTCCATCACAATGCTGCTTTCTCTTTGATATTTTCCCAGGTAGCTCTAGGTGTCCCTGTCCTGTACCTGCCTCCAGTAAAGCCATCACTTCCTTGTTTATAATTTTTCATGTACATGTCTTTCTTACCATGGAATTTAGAGACATTCTGTGCATCTTCCATGTTTGTAACCCAGGAATTGCCACAGGACAGGTACAGAGATGGTACTTGTCATGCATGCTTATCTGGCCCCATGAGTGAGTGAACGTCACTGTGTTGGGAGGTCAACTCCAATATTAGCTGACAGAAGAGACATGGGCTGAGTTTAGATGAAGACACTCACCATATCTCTGATGGAAGGTGGCAGCACCTTTATAATATGTGTGGCTCTAGAATGAATTACTCAGTTTTCCCAAATCACTGGTGATAATAAAACAAAGTGCATTTGTTTGAGAGGTTATAGAATCATCAAGCTAAAGCTTAGAAGGAAAAAAGTCTCATCTGGTTTTAGCAAAAAGTTAATTGTGCCAGCATTTTAATACTATCATTTTCTCATAGAGTTATCATGAGAACAATGGCAATTGAGGAGGCATAATTTTTGTTAGCTGGGACTTGTTGGAATCCATACTTCACCCAAGTTCTTCTGCCCTGAACTGCTTTGAATGCTAATGATATCCACTGCATGGTCGGCTTTGAATATGTGTGTAGACAAATTTCTTCTTGCTAGTGGCTTCAAAAATTTCCCTGAAGAGTCTCTCATCCATGTAAAAATGTAATAAGTTACCTTTTACCCTTAAAGTGGAAAATAGATGTATTTACAGCTCATTTATTTATTTTGGTGTACTGATGCTATGATACTTCTTAGTGTATGATAGAGTTCTCAAAACTTAAGGTCTAGCTTTCTGGATTCCTCTAGTGGTTCCCTGGCTTAAGCCAAAGAGAAGAACCTGACCCTTTCCCCCGTCTTGCCTACTTTTGGTAATTTATTTTTCCTTAATTGGCAGAGTATCTTCTGTGAAATTAATTTTGATTGTGTATTGTGCAGGTACTACTCTGTCCTCTATCCACTGGAGAGAAAAATATCTGATGCCAAGTCCCGGGAACTGGTGATGTACATCTGGGCCCATGCAATTGTGGCCAGTGTCCCTGTGTTTGCAGTGACCAATGTGGCTGATATCTATGCCATGTCCACATGCACAGAAGTCTGGAGCAACTCCTTGGGCCACATCGTGTATGTTCTAATCTATAACATCACTACGGTCATTGTGCCTGTGGCTGTGGTGTTTCTCTTCCTGATCCTGATCCGACGGGCCCTGAGTGCCAGCCAAAAGAAGAAGGTCATCATAGCAGCGCTTCGGACCCCGCAGAACACTGTCTCCATCCCCTATGCCTCCCAGCGGGAGGCTGAGCTACATGCCACCCTGCTCTCCATGGTGATGGTCTTCATCCTGTGCAGTGTGCCCTACGCCACCCTGGTTGTTTACCAGACTGTGCTCAACATCCCTGACACTTCTGTCTTCTTGCTGCTCACTGCCATTTGGTTGCCCAAGGTCTCTCTGCTGGCAAACCCTGTGCTTTTCCTAACTGTGAACAAATCAGTCCGCAAGTGCTTGATAGGGACCCTGGTGCAGCTGCACCACAAGTACAGCCGCCGGAATGTGGTAAGTACTGGGAGTGGGGTGACTGATACCAGCCTGGAACCCAGTGTGCGCTCAGGCAGCCAGCTCCTAGAGATGTTCCACATTGGGCAGCAGCAGATCTTTAAGCCCACAGAGGATGAGGAAGAGAGTGAAGCCAAGTACCTCGGCTCGGTTGACTTCCAGGCCAAAGAAGGCACCTGCCTGGAGGGACAACAGGGACCACAGTTTGCACGCCCCACGCCACCCCCAGGCGCAGTAGATTCTGTATCCCAGGTGGCACCAGCAGCCCCTGTGGAGCCTGAGACATTCCCTGACAAGTATTCGCTGCAGTTTGGCTTTGGGCCTTTTGAGTTGCCTCCTCAGTGGCTGTCAGAGACCCGAAACAGCAAGAAGAGGCTGCTTCCCCCCTTGGGCAATACCCCAGAAGAGCTGATCCAGACAAAGATGCCCAAGGCAAGCAGGGTAGAACGGAAGATGAGCAGAAACAACAAAGTGAGCATTTTTCCAAAGGTGGATTCCTAGCAAGGATTGTAAATCCCTGGAAGTAACAGAGAACTTCTACATTCCTGCCCTTCCTTCACTGTGACCATGAGTTCTGAGATCTCATTGCAACCCACTGTAGGGTGATTCCTTCTGTATAGGCCAAATGCTTTTGAATGAAAGGGAAATCTATATAAAATCAAAATGTCTATTTATTGAAGGAGTAGACATATTTGTCTCAGTGATCCATGTGCTCAGTAAAGTCTACATTCCTCTCTATGGGATGAAAGTTAGGCAGATTGGAACAAGTCTTGGGTGAGTGCTCCATGTGGGGAGTTCTCATTTTCCTGGGCTCAGAAGAGAACACACATAGAGGAATTCCACAAGTTCAGAGGGAGCAGAAACACTAAGGGAAGCCCAAGATAATTTTGGAGTGGAGAGATTACAAAGAAGATGCATATTTGGGTAACTTAAATAAAACAAATAGAAAAACCTTTTCTATTGAGAAGATAGGGTCATGGCATCTGGCATTGTTTCCCTGAAAGTTCAAATTATGTGTCTCACTATTCCTCCCGATATCCTTCATCCCTCTAATTGGAGTATAAGTAAGGGATGACAATTCCACCTCTGTTTGACAAATATGGCCTTAGATATGTTCAGGGGACAAGGGGAATTTTTGTTTTTGATTATACTGACATTCTTTTGACATCATCAGAGCCTTTGAAAAATGGACCTGCATCATTCTGTCATGGCCAGTGTTAGCTGGAAAACACTGCAGGCTCTTAATTAAGGTTTCTTTCTTTCTTTTTTTTTTATTAAACTGTATTTTATTAACAAATGAGAGAGAAACTTAGAGGTGGAGAAGAAAGATTGCTCAGAGGTGCCCATGGCACTGTAGTCTTTTCTCTTCCACATGATCTCATATGAAAGATGCTGTTTCACAATCAGTATGAGTAAAGCATATTGGAAAAAAACATGTTATGGAAACTTTTGGCATTAAAAGGTGGCTGAGAAATGCAAAGTTAGCATGATCTGGGTTCTTTGGAAACATCAACTAAAAATACTTGATTAGGAAAGCTGATTCTGCCCAAAAGACTGGCAAGAGTGACAAAAATGACTCTCTTCTGAGAGAATGGATCGGCATGCCAGTCTCATTTTCAATGTGTTGTACAACTGTGGTTCTCACAGACAGAGCCATGAACGGAACAGGGAGAAGTAATCATTGTAAAATGCCAAAGCAACACCTAGACCAGGCAAGCTCTTTATTTCCTCCTTCCCAGTGAAGTTTTAGTAGGTGCCAGAGTGGGTGGAAGAAGGAGGGCAGCGTTCTCAGCTCATTAGTCTCCTGGTGGCTCTCATCTCTTCAGGCTGAATTCAGACCTAATGCTTCACTTTTAATGAGGACAAATCAAGTGCCAGCCTACTCTTCTCTCTAGAGTGTTTTGTTCCTGTTAATGGTAGTTACTTGGGGGCTCCAATCTGGTGCCTTGAGAAAGCTTGAAGGGAAGTGGGTGGGTGTCCTCCCTGGCAAACTTCCACATCCCAAAGGCAGTGGTCCTAACACACCCACTCCTTTAAGCACAGTGAGCCCTTGTTCCCTGAAGGAAGCTCAGAGGATGTGTAGGGAATTTCCTTTTCTTTTTTCTCTTGAGTGTTATGTCTTGTGATTCCTGAATGGGAAGCCAAGGATCTTCCCTGCAGAGGAAGCACCTTCTTCTCTGTGCTTCTCACCTTGCAGCCTTGTTTGCTCACAGCAGAAACAGGGGACTGGCACCTCTTTTGAGGCTTTCCTGACTCCTGGACCCTGTGTGCATGCCTCCATAGTTCCTGGCCCTGGTAGTCCATGTTGTGGCCCTTTAAACTTATCTTTCAAAGCCTCATAACTGTTACAGCTTTTATCAAGGGGAAAAAACAATCTGTCGGAAAATTCTATCCACTTTACAAGAATCTGTCAAATGTATCCATTTGGGTGTTGTCCTGATAATATAGATGTGTTGCTAAATAAATTCTGATGAAGCAGAGTTTTTGGTTGGGTGTATTTCTTATGTATATTTGAAGCAGATGGTTGACTTCTACAGGTTATTGCCAGGTGTATTTCTATACTTTTTGAAGAATAATATTTTAAAAATTAAACATCCATTTCTGAACCATCACAACAAAAAGTTGTATGAGCTATGCTTTTCTCTCTTCTTTTCCCTCTTGAGTATTATACCATCTGAACCTCTCTTTTCCTTCATGGTCTCAGATTAAAGTTATTCAGTTTTTCCCCACAAATGCAAATGCCACGTTGCAGCAGCATTTTTCTGTGTTTTTGCAACTGGAAGAGAATGAATTCCCAAAGAAGAAAATGCAACATTTGAATAAATGTCATAAAGGTGAATTTTAAATTGAGTCGGCAGATGGGCTGCCCTAATCTTTTTTTTAAAAAAATATTTATTTTATTTTATTTTTAGTTGTAGTTGGACACAATACCTTTATTTATGTGGTGCTGAAGATTGAACCCAGTGCCTTGCACATGGTAGGTGAACTTTCTACCGCTGAGCCACAACCCCAATCCTGGATTGTTCTAATCTTTAGGTGGAGTTGCACAAGGGAAGACTGGACTGACATCTGTATCCTGCAAAAGAGATTGTCACTAGCATGGTGGTGGGGGCCTTGACCTCCAAGGTCAGATTTCTCATGTTCAAATCCTGGCCCTATTGAAAGAACAAACAAGGCTCGCTGTCGGAGAAAATGCCTGTTTATTGAGGAACAGCTCTGCATATTTATAGAGCCGGGGGTGGTTTGACAGTTATGACAGTTTAATGGTTGAACGGTTTGACAGTTGGCTGGGGGTGTTTTCTGATTGGTGGGTAAGGATCATGTGAGCAGCAGGGCTCACCATTGGACAGCAGGATCATGTGAGCAGCAGGGCTCACCATTGGATGGCTCTTCTTGGGGGATGAGGAAGTTAGTCTTTGGAGCCAGGGCGACTCCCAACATTCCCCCCTCTTTGTTATTAAATGAGAGTGGGCGTCGACTCATTGTGGCTGCTTCCTGCTGTGATGGGGCAGCATGGGAGAAAGAGAGGAGGGAAGTAAGGAGCCCCCACAGGAGGGCAGAGAAGACTGGTATCAATGAAGGTTCCTTGCCACCACAGATCCATGATGTTTTCAGTCCATTCGGCATAGGTCTCGACTGGAGGTATCATCAGTAGCCAGGAGTTGGTAATTCCTGAGGAGAAGCTGGTTAAAAACTTGACTAGAAATTTTACCCACCTGAGTCTGAATGAACTTTATGATATGGGGAAGGAACAGGCCCAGGGAGTTTTTATAGCCCAAATCTAATGGGGTCTTGGGTCTGCAAGCTGCCTTGTTGGCACAAGGGGGGTTAAGTGTTCAACCTTGAGTGGGGGGTTGAGTGTTCAGCCTTGAGCAGGGGCTTGGGCGTTTGGGCTTGAAGCAAACAGGTGATAAAGAACCAGACAGAGGGTTTGAGAAGCCAGGTCATCCTGCAGCTAACCTTGTTTGGCATGCCCTGCAGACCAGCCTGTCCTGCAGCTAACACCCTCAATTCCACTCTTCATTCCTAGTCCAATCTAGCTCCCTCCCCTCTCTATTAAGGCTGCTCTTCAAACTTTCTCCTACCTGGGTGTACCAGCTTGCTTCTCTCTTTGCCTTTCTCGAAGGCAGCCAAGGGAGGATGGTGGCCCATTGTTACCATATTTCCCTTTGAGAGCAGTCAGATCTCTCCAGGTTTTATGTGAAACACCTCAAATTTAAATACTGATACTTGAAATTCTTATGAAACTGGGAAGGTAAACAAAATACACATGTTCCTCCTTAGGCCCAGAAGGCAACTGGCAAAGTGCTCTCTTAAGATCACACTTATTCAGGGGTCACCATACTCTGGACACCTAAGTGGTTTGTCAGAAGGACAACACACAACGGTCCCACTACTGGCCATATTCAAGCAAGTAGGCGGGGGTTCTGGCTGCAGGGGGCCCTTAGGGTCACTTGCCTTGAATCTTCAGATACAGGACAAAGAGAGGACCCAAGAGGGGCCAGAAATGAGGGGGAGCATTGACAAGAGTACTTAATGACAGGTGACGATCGTTGGCTCTTCTGATGAAGGTGTAGGAGTGCCGGGCTTAAGCCTGGAAATATGAATCCATGGGGTAAGTTGGTTATTAGACAGCTTGAGTTTGGCCACCAAGGGAGTGCACATAATCACCTGAGCAGGACCCTCCCATTTTGTTTTTAGAGGGGACTTTTTCCCCTGTGGGCAATAGTAAACAAGTTGACCAGGTGTTAAGGAGGTAGGGTTTTGAAAGAGACTGGGGTCAGGAAGGAGCCAGTCTTGATAGTGCCAGAGTTCAGATTGTAAATGGAAGAGGAAGGGCAGGGCATAGGTTTCGGAGATAGTTAGGGGTTCTGTAGGCAATCTGGGAGGAATGAGGGGACGGCCATAAATGACTTCGAAAGGTGAGAGATTAGAAGGCTTCTTTGGTAAGGCCCTAATGCACAATAAAGCCAAGGGGAGCACCTTTACCCAGTCCAGGCTTAATTCCATGGTGAGCTTGGTGAGGGTCTAAGGGACCGATTGGTCCTTTCAATCTTTCCAGAAGCCTGGGAGCGGTAAGGGCAATGGAAATGCCAAGGGAGTGATAGCGTGTGAGCCAGTCCCTGAGTTACCTGCGAGATGAATTCTGGGCCATTGTCTGATTGGATAGAAGTGGGCATCCTGAAACGGGGGATTATGTGAGTAAGCAACAGATCAACTACCGTAGAGGCCCGCTTGTTAGAAGTGGGAAAGGTTTCAACCCATCCCAAAAAAGTATCTACCTATACAAGAAGATATTTATGTTTTTTACTCGGGGCATGTTGATGAAATCAATCTGCCAGTCTACAGCCGGGGTATGACCGCGGGCCTGATGAGAAGGGAAAGGTTTAGGTTTTAATGGAGTATTGGTATAGGTTCTCTGGCAGATCTGACAAGCGGAAGTGATCTGTTGTAGGAGGGTCTTATCACGTGGGGAAAGGGTGAAAAAGGAGTGAAGGAAAGTAGTGAGACTCTGTGGACTAGAATGGAATAGAGAGTGAAGAAACTGGAAGAATTGTTGGGGATCTTTGGGCCGATCCTCGGTGGTAACGAAGAGTAGCAGAGAGGAGGTAAAGCTCTGTAGGGCGGGCGGCTGATTGAGCCACTTGATCGGCCTTGGAATAACCCATAGTAGTAAGGGAGGAGTCAGTTTGGTGGGCCTTGCAATGGATTATTCCCAGCTGGGAAGGCAGCCTGGAGGCTCGTAGTAGGCCAGAAATAAGTGTGGAATTAATGACTGCCATCCCTTTGGTGGTCAATAGCCCCCTTTCTTCCAAATGGCTGCATGGGAGATCTGTATATAGGGAGAGGGTTTTTCCCTCTGCTAGCTCGCAT